TGTCCAGTCTATCTGGCTACGTAAAATCTGATTTCAGGTCTGTTAACACCATATAGGCCTACATTCTATGATTAACACACAGTTATAACCGGGGACATTTCCGGGGACAGCTCCAGATGGGGACGGGCCATCAAAACTGGGGACTGTCCCCAGAAAAGGGGGACATCTGGTCACCCTAGTGTATATGTCACGCCTGAGATGAGATCGGGTTGGATCTATTCTGGTTCCCCATATACATGCTACTTTTAAATGCATAGACATAACATTTATTTCTTTATCTTTGTCTCTATCTCTACATATTTATGGCTATATGCAGATGATATATGTGTCCCATGTGATTATTATTATTATTTTATTTCTTTTTTACAGTTAGACACTTTTTAGCTTTGTTTTGAAAGGTGTTATTTGAATAAAGTTCCAAAGAAAGGTGGGTGTAGCAGTTGTGGATGCTGTCTCAACTTTCATTTTGGTGCTACCCAGCAAACACTGTGACATTGAATAGTTGCTGATACAACGGCCTGGGCACTGAAAATGTCAGCAGGTGTGGAGCCAAAATGAAAACTGAGACAACATCCACACTGATGCCTGCTTTTGAGATGTCTGATTTTGTGATGTCAAAACCTAAATAAGTTATTGTGCTAGTTTTAGTTGACCCTGAAGTAATTAGGGGGGCATGAATCTTTTGATTGTTCTTATGTCCTATCTACATATAGGTACGAGTGAGAATCCACAGACCCTTAAGCTGATGATACACGGGGCAACTTTTTGAGCAATGTTGCTGGTCAATCTTGCTAGTGGCTAGTCCGACGATGTTTTGAACGGATAGCGGGGCAGGTGGCAGAGTGGTGGGGAAAGGAGATTATGGTAGTAATCTTTACTCATTACCATTGACGGAGATGTTTCCCTGCACGATTGCTCAAAAAGTTGCCCTTTGTATCATCGGCTTTATTTGTTTACTGTTTACATAGATGCTAATGTTCACATTCACACACTCTCACATACACACACACACACACACACACACACACACACAAAATGGACAGCTGTAAAGTGCTCACTCAGCACTGCAGCTGCATCAGCAGTGAGACAGAATAGAAAGCAGGGTCTTTGTTTGTGTGTGTGTGTGTGTGTGTGTGTGTGTGTGTGTGTGTTGAGAAAGAGACAGATTGCCATGTGTGAGGAGTTAAGGGTGATGGGATCTTTGAGCAGACAAAGGGGAATCATTGCTACTCTCAGCATCCATTAGCCTAACCCTATGGATCAATATTGATCCTTACTACCACCGAGCTCTGTCTAATAGGCTTCTACCCGCCCTAATACAATGACAGCATTAGCGCAATCCAGATGGCTGGATTCTGGTGTGGGAGGGTGAACCACAGCCCAAACAAGAGAGAGAGAAAGAGCGATAAAGAGGCTAAAAAGATTTACAGGTCCAGAGGAGAAAGGATGGGAGACAGTAATGCTGATAATGTGTGCAAGACAGACACCAAGAGTGAGAGAGAAAGAGAGATATTTAACCACTGAATATCTCTCTTTCTGACTAACCTTTCTGACTAACCGTTTTAGAGACCATAAAGGGAAAGAGAAGAAGCCTCTGTACAGCCATCATAGTAAAAGCATGAGACATCACTGTGTGTCTGGAATGAGAGAAAGTGAAGAGTGAGTTGTTTGTTTTTGGGCTTGTATTATGTGTGTTTTCCTGTCTGATCTTCTGCTCTGACACCCTCTTGCTTGAATAATAAATAGTGATCAGCTGTTGCTGTAATTTGGCCACCTGACTCTTATTATTTACTCAGCCAGCTGAGTGGAGGGAGCGAGGGAAAGACCATCTCACACGTCAGAAAACATTTCAGATGTCTGAGCAGTCTTCCCCCACACACTCACATTCTCCTTCTTTGTTATCTCAGTAATAACCAAGATGAAACTAAAAGATTCCTTACCAGAAGCACACATGGCATTGGAGTTGGAGTTAACATCCCTCTAGATAGGGAAAGGCATGTAAAATTAAATATTCAAATTAAATATTACCTTAAGAAGGCTTGTCATAAGGTAGAGCCAGTTCAGAGCAGAGTAAGCCAAGCGGTCTTCTATATGGACAAGAAAACACATTTTCTCAATCACAGATAGAGCCCTACATGAACAAAGTGTTTTCTTTGTTAGAATAGTATTAGTATTAACAGTTTTGGTTATTTCACATTTTTTTGCATATGAGTCTTAAGTGATTTGAAGTGGGCGGGGCTCAGTTGGAAAAAAGTGATGCCATGTACTTCCGTGCACCAATCAGGATTTAACGTTTTTTCAGTCCAAATGTGATGACAGCTGTGGGGTTGTTTTTGCTTATGTTGCCAAACCACTGACAAATTCTGATTACACAGGAATCTTAAACATTTAGTAACTAAGTCTGCTTTCTTCCTGAACTTTTGTCATGAATATTTAGTGTTATTGGCTTATATTCCCTATTATATAGGGGATAGGGGTTCTCAATAGTCAGCAGTAAATTGAGATTTAGGGCACTTACTAATGGTCATCATTTTGTGTTTAAAGTTGCAACAGTATTTTATTTATCTATGAAATGAAGAGTATTGTATTGTGGAATTAGGAGAAAGTATGGTGCAGGCCATAGACACTTCTTTTTTTGTTTCTTATATGGGCACCATATAGTGCAGAAATCTAACCCTCCAACCACTTTTTAAGAACTTTAAATTATCAATAATGGGCTATATCTAATTTGTTGAAGATATTATGTACAGAATTTGTTAATGTTGGTCTTTCCTCTCCCCCCCCTACTTCTCAATCATGCAAACATTCACATATTCAAGAATGAATCAACCATTAACATATGGATGAGTTTGTTAAAAAGATTTCAACAGTGTTCTAGACCTGTGTCTTCGATACTCTGCCCAGAAGGTTAAAAAAAAACAGACTTGGAAACTTGTCCGAGTAGGTCAGTGCCTCATGAATTTCCTCATAATATAGCCTTTGGATTTAGTTCACGTTTTCGTTTTCCTTTTGCTTCTCAGAGGCATCGATCGGGGATAGCTAAAGCCTGCAAGCTAGTCTTCACGCCGGGAAAAAAGGAGCTGGAACACAGTCTGAGCTTTGTGCAGGAGCTTGCTTATAGAGCACATAGTGTTAGGGTAACCAGGCAGTGCAGCTGGCCTTTCACAACTATGCAACTTTAAGGCAGTGTTTAAATCAAGATGCAAAAGACAAGGACCCTGTTCTCCCGGACTAACACACACATAAAAGGGAAAGAAAGTGAAGGGAAGTCAAACAGGGAAATGTGGAAAAGATGAGCCTCCCATATAGGACTTCAGTAACTACTATATTAATGCAATTTTGGCAAGAATAAAAACATTTATATTTGGTTTAAGCAGTGTTAATATCTAATCATGATGTTTCTATCATAACTGCAACTATTACTATCTATTGTTCATACAAGGTTAGAAGGTCATGTTGCTGCCAAACTGACTTTTTTAGTAGACTTCTAGAAACAATTTAAAAGTAAAACAATTGAAAAGCTTTAACAAATACAGCGTTGTTGGATAAATCTGGATAAGTCTGACTGAAGCATCATGTATTGTCATCATTATATGAAAAATAAATTAAACCATGTGCTGCTCCTTTAGGTATCATCTCTGTAAAACTTTTTTTTTTTAACACTGGAATTATTTCCAAACCAGTGACCAATGGTAGCAGCCCACATGCACACAAAGTCAGTCATTTTGACAAAACTGTTTGGCAAGAAAGATGAAAACATGCCAGCGAGTTCATCCTCCCGGCCCCCAAACCCTCTCCACAACATTCCTTTCATAAATGTGCAGTGCTGGAGTATTTTTTTAAGAAACCGGAGAGAGTTGGTATGTGGAGGGGCCCATTATGGAGCTACTTTTGTGGGAAGTTGCCATTATCACTATCAGATCTCCTCTTATGCTCTGACCCCTGGTCCAGTAGTTATTTCAAGGTTGGATGACCATACTCTACTAAGGCCCACCCTCCACCTGACACACATGCACACACAGCCACACACTCACCCACCTGGCCTCTGTCCATGTATGTACACACACGGAGATGCAGGAAAACATAAATATCCTTTTACTCCCTCTTGTTAATGTATGTGTTTTAGCACCTGCACAACAAAGACCCTCTTGTCTCTGACATGAGCGTGAGCATCAGGCGTGGCAGCATTCTACAAGGAGGCATCAGGTAGGTGTCACAACATGTTTATCCCTGCCAGTTTCAGTCCAACTATACTCGCCCTAATTGCTTGTATAATTTCACTAATGTGAAATAGTGTGAAAATGCCAGTGAGTATCTTCTTTTTCTCTATGCAGCATCATAGCACTTGCTTTCATCCCAGAACAGCCCTCCCCCCTCGTTCTTTTTTTTCTGCCTCTTGCAAGCATTCCTGCCCCTCCCCCCTTCAGCTCCCCTTGCTGGTATGGATCTGTGAAATGTTGGCAGGGTATGCTGCTATGGCATGGAGCCTCAGTGATAGTAGTCGTGATGTGAGGAAAAGAAAAGGTGAGGAAAATCAGAAAGCCTCAGAAAAAGGACTGATTGTCATTGTTCAATAAAATTCTTTTGTTGTCCAAATCATGACATGCAGGCAGCACACAATAGGCAGCCATGTTCCGCCAACCAAAATATTTGTAATGTGGTCAGTAAGCTAAAGGACATTGCTCTTCATAGATATGAATAATCAGTCAAACTCTAACCCAGTGGAGCTGATATGAGCTGTAGTAGCAGTGGATGTCAACAAGTGGTTTGATATTAACAGAGCCTAGATGTTCTGTAAACGATGTTGCTCTGCGTCGCTCACAGTTATAGACAAAAATTCATTGAATTTTATGGTTTAAAATTAGTTAAGTTTTACAGATTCATTAATGAGAAGGTCTAATCCATAGCTTAAAGTACAATAAATCTTACTAGTGACCTAGTGCCTCTTAAAATTGTGACACATAATGCTCAGAGAAGGCATGAAAAGAAAAGAAGATCACTGTAGGCTATAACAATCTCTTTTTATTCTCTATTCCGAACAATCAATTTGAAATGAACAGTCCTCACAGGTACCATTATTAGAAAAGGCCAAAACATTTATGTCAGGTCTCTGCATATAGTAATAGAAAGGATATACGACATTCTAAATCAGATAACATACTAATAATGAACGCTTTTCCAATAAACCACTTTGTAATATTCATCGGGCTCACACACAGATTTATTCATTCCATTCATTAATACCATATTTACTCTCTAGTGTTTTTCCTCTTCTGTCTAGTTTCACTGTCCGTCTGCATTCACCTTCAAATTCCAAATGTCTCTTGTCTGCACTCCCATCTTACTTCCTATCTCTCTCTCTGTGTTTCTGTCCGTCTCTCTTTCTATCCTCAAGTTGTTGCATTTCATTTTTGGTTACTCAAAAGAAAACATCCGTTTGCCTGAGTTACCACTATAAACATTGCGGTGGTTACAGCATTACAGAAAGCCTAGCTGTGTGTGATACCTTGATGGTTTTCTCGCACAATCGGAGGATTAAACTGAATTCACATTGATTTGACAGATACTTTCTTTTCAGACTGCCTGGGTGACTTCAGTGCTGAGACCCACCATCATGTCGGAGACTGCATCGGGAACTTCCTGGACATCCCCACTCAGGTTCATGTCCTTTTTCAGTTCAAAGTCACTCTGCTCCTTGATAGGCATCTCCTCTGGCTTTTCATCACCGTTAACACATTCCTCTGTCTGTGCGGCGGCAGAATCTGTACACTCTCCATTCACAGCTGGAGGTGCATCTACTTCTGCCACATCCTCTGTAACAGGGCTCTCTAAATTTCCATTTTCCTCATTGCTTTCAACCTCAGGCTCTGGGCAAGGCACCTCTTTCACAGAGGCTTCAGTTACCTCTTCAGACTCAGCAGTAATTTCGCTGGCAGAAACAGACTCTGAGATGACAATTTCAGGGACAGGTTCTGCTACTTCTGGCTCAGCTGCCGCCTCAGTGCTGGAGGCTCCTGTTGCAGTTTCCTCTTCTATAGGCTGACATTCTGCGGGGACCTCCTCTGCTGCAGTCTCCAAGACCTCAGGTACTTCAGTGTCAGATGTGGCTACAATTGGTTCTGGCTCAATGTTCTCTACTTGTTTCTCTGCTGCAGATTCCACTGCAACAGCCTCTTTCTCAGGTTCTGGCGATATTTTAAGCTCCGGCACTGGTGTTTGCTCTGGTTTGGGTTCTGGATCTGGTTGTTGCTCGGGCTCTGGTTTGAGTGTTTGCTCTGGTACTGTGGCTTGCTCCGGCATTGGCTCTACAGCTGGCTCAGCCACTGGTTCAGGTTCGGGGACAGCAGCAGGCCTCACTGTCTCCTCCACAGTGGCTTCCGGCTCAGTAACAGTCTTTGGCATGGGCTCTGCCTCTTGGTCTTCTGTGCTAGCCAGAACAACCTCTGGCTCTGGCACAGATTCTACAGCTACAGCAGGTTCTTCTACAGGGAGCTCTTCGGGTACAGCTGCAGACTCAGGTTCAACCTCACTTGGCGCAGGTTCTTTTGATGCTGCTGTTGTAGCCTCTGAGATCTCTGCTGGAGCTTGTTCTTCAACTTCCTCAACTACTGGAGCTGACTCCTCTGCTGCTGCAGTGAGTTCTTCTGCTGCTTGAACAGATTCCTTTGCTGCTACACCAGGTTCTTGTACGACTGGAGCTGGTTCCTCTACTGCTGCAACTGGTTCTTCTACCGAAGCTGCCTCCTGTGCTGCTGCAACTGGTTCCTCTACTTGAGCTGCCTCCTTTGCTGCTGCAACTGGTTCCTCTACTTGAGCTGCCTCCTGTGCTGCTGCAACTGGTTCCTCTACTTGAGATGCCTCTTGTGCGGCTGCAACTGGTTCCTCTACTGGAGCAGCCTCCTTTGCTGCTGCAATTGGTTCCTCTACTTGAGATTCCTCCTGTGCTGCTGCAACTGGTTCCTCTACTGGAGCAGCCTCCTTTGCTACTGCAACTGGTTCCCCTACTGAAGCAGCCTCCTTTGCTGCTGCAACAGGTTCCTCTACTAAAGCAGCCTCCTTTGCTACTGCAACTGGTTCCTCTACTGAAGCAGCCTCCTTTGCTGCTGCAACTGGTTCCTCTACTGGAGCAGCCTCCTTTGCTACTGCAACTGGTTCCTCTTCTGAAGCAGCCTCCTTTGCTGCTGCAACGGGTTCCTCTACTGGAGCAGCCTCTTTTGACGCTGCAACTGGTTCCTCTACTGGAGCAGACTCCTTTGTCGCTGCAACGGGTTCCTCTACTGGAGCAGCCTCTTTTGACGCTGCAACTGGTTCCTCTACTGGAGCAGACTCCTTTGCCGCAGCAACTGGTTCCTCTACTGGAGCTACCTCCTGTGCTGCTGCAACTGAAACCTCTACTGAAGCAGCCTGCTTTGCTGCTGCATCTGGTTCCTCTACTGAAGCAGCCTTCTCTGCTGCTGCAACTGGTTCCTCTACTGGAGCTACCTTCTCTGGAGCTGCAGGAGCTGGTTCCTCCGGAGGTGCAGATTTGGGTTCTTCTGGAGCTTTTACAGCTTCAGTTACTCCTGCCACAGCTGACTCCACAGCTTGTTCCACCACATTGTCTGCCTTAGCTGTCAACTCAGCTTCTGTGGATGGGGCTACAGCCTCCACTTTAGCAGACTCCTCTGCACCCCCAACTATTGCTGAGGTCTCATCCTTTGTCTCTTTGGGGTCACTCACATCATATCCCTTCCTCTTCTTGCTCAGTTTGCCTCCCATGATGTCTCCTAGGAACAAGTGGATGAAGGTGTCTTTTAATATGAGTTGAGATATAAAACATTGTCTAATTTACACTGTCAATTTAATTATGAATGCTTAAAACAACTACATTGCTCAGGAATATATATATAATTTATGTTCAAGACATAGATGAACACATTCATTCCTACAGGTAGTTTCCAATTCACCTGAATTGTATGGGGGCTAAATCCATGCCAAGAAGGCACTAGCTGGCTGGGTTCAAACCCAGCATCTTCTTGTGAGGCAACAGTGCTGTCCACTTAGGTAGGTAATTGTTTTAGGTAGTTAAAATGTATTTACTACATGTGAACATTAGGAATGTGTCTTGTCAAACTTTCAATAAATACAGCGTGCAACTTAGTTCCCTCAAATATAAAACAGTGGTCTGTCAGAAAGGAGAACAGATAGAAGTCTATTGTCTAGAAGTAAACTAGAAGTTCAATTAGGAAACTACTCTCTGCCAAACACAGTTTGGCTAGACAACATATGTAAATGCATGGGAACCTTACTGAGATCAGACAAAACTGCAGACTCTCAACCCTTTCAGGAATGCTGGGTAAGGCTCAGTGCCAAATAAGCCCAAGACTCTGAGTTGAATGCCTATGATTTAGATGTACAACTATTCTTCTCTGAATGAAAAGCTGTGTAGCAAGTCTCACAAGACACATACATAGAGGAGGTAATCCAGAACTTGCAGTAACATTCACAAACAGAATTTTCTGTATGAACTACTGATCAGTGCAGAACCACAATAATCCTATTCTGAGAATGGAGCAAACCATTTGTGTTTAAATTTGTGTTTGCCACAGAATGTAACTTCCTTTCATAAACAATTTAGAGAACTGGAAGTTCAACTTAATCTTACTTACTGTGTTTCAGCTGACACTGAACCAATCAACCTGTTTGAATATGAGAGAGCCCTTAACGGCATGTTTCTGCAGAATAGAGATTACAGATTTATATTACATTCATTTTGAATGCCACTGATAATTTGATATGCCTATTTTGGTTTGACAAATACTGTAAATATTAGGCCTATACAACATTGTTTTTTTCACTATATCCCAAATAATATAAGCACTTTTACCCTGCATGTCAGCATGTGGGTAGGAACAATCTGGGAACTGTCCATAGTGCTACAAAGGTGCAATCAAGACAGGATACGCCATGATAGGATGCTGCACATCCCTTACCCAAATTTACAGTTAATGAGCAGTCCAGTAATACATATAAGTAATTCTATCTGCTTTTACAGGAACACCAGCCTAATTCTGCTTTTGGACCTACTTCTAACTAATTATACTTTTTTTATGTGGTGGATTTCTTATTTGCACAATTTTGCCAAATTCCTCTTGGTGTCTCTGGCCTCCAAATCAGACAAAGCAAACATGTAGCTACAGTTTAAGGAGAAAACCTAATATTATTACATCAAATCATTGTGGATTTGCAAAATCAAGCCAATCTGTGAGTTTATAGGAACGTTGAATATTCAGTATACACAAAGCTTTAAGCGAATTAGGAAGATGAAAGGAGACACGCAAAGGTAGCCCACGCCGGCCGGTAACAAAGGAAGGGGATTCATCACCAGCTGCTACTCACTGACAAAAGTAATGGGTAGGACTAAATTAGCAGAAAACACTGACTAATCTGTATTATAGTGTAGGGTATATGCCTATGCTGCTATACAAGGGAATTACACTATACACTGGTCACGAACACTTGAGTGATAAAGGCTGTAGAGGGGTCTCCATCCCCCATTTCAACCCACCCACCGCTGCTTCTCTCAGCTGCTCTGCCCTTTTTTGTTCACGAGCATTTGAAAATGTCGTCCTCACATGCGAAAGGAAACAAAATTCGCCACAGTAACGTCGTAATAGCAAACAGGTAACCTACCACAACTTCATAACTTTGTTTCGCGCTTTCTTTATCCCAGAAGGTTTTTAATCTCCTGGCCTATACTTTAAAAAACCAGCGCTGCTGCCCGAGAAGACGCACTAAATCAAATTCCACCGCTGAAAACGTGAAAAAAATCTTGCCTTTATTATGCCAGCCTTAAAATGTACAAATTTGCATAGTTAGAAAAAGGCAGAGAGAGAGAGAGGGAGAGAGAACAATGGGTGCGCAGCAGTTCACCGGCATCTTTCTTTCTTGCTCACTTCTTTATTTCTATCATTACATTTACTTACAGAACATACTTCCTAAACATTTTGCAGTTGAACAAAAAACAAAACAAAAACAATGCTCTGACGTGACCGACCTGTATTTCTAGAGAGTGATCACTTGTCCAAGCTCCGGCTGGATGTGGTAATGGAGGTAAACCTTTAGAGTGACAGCTGCAGATTCCGCCCCTGCTCTCGGAGGTGCAGTCTGGGACTGTGTTGAAGCTGAGGAGTGCCCCTCACAGTTTTCTAGGCATCTGTCGCTATCACAATCCAGCCTCTACCCCACTTCTGCTCAGTCTGCAATCTATACCCTCCCAATCTTTAACCCCTCCCCTCCCTCACACACCCACTCTGCTGTATAAATACATCTGCGGACTAAGGATGATTAAGAGCAGAATGTCACTTATTTAACATTGAAAATGCCCATTTCTCATCTGTTCTTGCTTTCATAAATAGTAATGCCATAGGAAATCACGTTCCCCTCCTCCTCCCCCCACAACACACACATATCTCACCACAGGAGCATTGCTACAATATAAATTATGCATAGGAGGCATTATGTCATTAAAACCATTTGAGCAGCCCACACACACAGAAAATTACAGTGATTCCTCTAAGTTTTTTTCTTATGTTAATTGTAAGCAAGATAGTATCACAGTGACATAATGAAAAAGGAGTGTAACAAGTTTAGAGATATTCTGGGTAGATTATAAATCAAACAGATGTTATTTGATTTAAAAGTGCTAAATTGAATCTTTGTAAAAATGTGTTATGTTTGAGCTGTGGTAAACTGTTGATATGGACATGTATGGATATAAAGAGGACCAAAAGTTCACTGTAAACATTGCAAAGTATTCTGATAATAGCGTGTCTTTGCTATTTGCCTTCCATGTGTTAATGGGACATGGTTAGTCCGGGTGAGACTTAATGAAATTCAACCACTGACCCTTCCAGGTGAATATGTTTTCTACTTCAACAATTTGACCCATGCAGCATGCAGCTGACACACTATAGGTTGAGGTATCTGAAAAGCATTGATTACTATCAGATATATTGTGTATATTAATTAAATAAAGTTGGGGCATAACTATGAATACATTTGAGCTGTCTCTGACTATGTGGACATTACATTAGTCTTCAGGAAGTATGAAGTGCTACTAGAAAGGAATCTCATGTAATCTCATTTAAAGTGCTAGAATGTAATTTTCTTAGTAGCCATAAAGCCTCATATCTCTAGCAGCAGTCACTACTTATTTTCACTTGCAGAGCCTTCGATTGGTCTTTCCCTGGCATTGTATTACATGTTCCCTGCTGGATGTAGTTTGCCCCAATGGTTTTGATAGTTTCGGGAGGGCTTTTCTTTTCTAACCCACTCTTATGTTTTTCTCCACGTAAATATATTTATCATTCATGTTTTTGAGTTAATACCATACAGACAGTATTACTGAGAAGACAGCACCCTCTCCTGTAACAGGAGCGCTCATAGTGCAACACAGCATCTATACAGAAAACTTGTTGGGCATTAAGATAATAATGTACACGATAAAAACTTTGGATGTAACAATGAAACAATTTGAATTTCTTATGCAAATATCTAGTTATATTGTACACATGAGATTTCTCTTAAAACTGTGTGTGGCTTTCGGACGATGACAAAGGAAATATTTCTGATTTTTTCAGTGTATATTTTCACAAGAAAAACCCAGACAAGAGTGTAAGAAAAAATATGTATATTTTAAAGAACTGTGACTGTCAAAAAAATATTAAAAGAAAAATAATTTGTGCTATTTAGATGATGTCATTAGACCTAGGTTTTGAATTTTATAAAATGCTCTGCTGACTAGATTTTCTGCTGTCCAAATGAATGTTCCAGTTTAAGACCCAGACAAGAAAATAAGATCAATCTTGTTTGTTTTCCCCGCTGACAATGGAGCTAAACAGTGACAAAGGGGCAGCAAAGACTGAGTTTCACATGATTCAAAAGCTCTGGAATGCACTCCCAGGAGTATAACCACCATCCCAGCCAACCACTCGGCTACACATATCACATATTCACAGGCATGGGGAGGCCTTGGAACCCCCCTCCCAGAGTTATAAACCGAATGTCCAAAACTCATCTGTCTGCACGTACTGGTCCCGTTGACCTAGAGTGACAAAAAGACTGAAGAGGTAGAGAAATAAAGAAACAGGTGTTGGGTGCTTCAACAAGCTATGGGCCAACAGCTCAACACCAGAGCTGTAGAATGTGTGCAGGAATGTGGAAAACTGCAGGGCCTGTTTTGAGGCTTTCCCAGTGCGAGGAAGGTTACTCTAGACATGAAATATATTTTGTGAATACATGAATCAACTCACAATAACTTGATTTCTTCCAAATATGTTCAAGCTTGATACTTGATGATCCCTTCAGAAGTTACAGCCAATTTCCAAAAGTTTTTAAATATAGACAACGTACATGCTGTTTTCACCACAACTCTCAAAACATTTATGAAATAGCCCGAGGTGTGAAGAGTGGCCTGGAATGGATGATTTTGAGCATATAGCCCACTCCTTCATAAGGTGACACATAAAATATGATGTTGAAAGTTGTTGAAAGTCAGTACATAACTGTGCTGTGTGGCACAGTGTGTCTGGGCTTTATTCATTCAAAGAAATGTTATTAGAAATCAAAGTATGGCACCTGGACACCAACTCATTTTTGCTGGTAAATTTGACCTGATGAAGATCCAGCATAAAACAGTGTCCTAATAGTTGAATACAATGTATGAATTGTGGCTATCTGCATTTATTGTTTATATAATTTGATCAGAATTTGGTCAGAAATCAAGATAAAAAAAAATCTCAAGTGAAATAGGCTAAAGAGAGGAGAGGTGCACTAGTTTGGTTGTGATTTTACCAATTCAATTTTAGAAAAACATTAACAGCAACCCCTACTGGACACATAGTATTAGTGTGAAATAATATGAATGACAAATAATACAAAACTACATGGCTATAAACAATATTTTAGATAGAATTTAGAGAAAAGCTTCCACTTAGTCCACTTCCTCTTTTCCACTTAAATGAGCTGTCCTTATAACTAAAGCTTGACATGACCTGACTGTTTCTTCTGTAGAGCACTCTCTGTACTTCTTAATCATTTTCCAATTAGCTTGCACCTAATAAGGTGGTAATGTGCTTAATAAGGGACCCTGAAGGTTGGTGAAGATTGAACATTTATGATGGCCTCCAAATCAATTAGTTAAATTTATAATTATTAGACTCATCTTAATCCCAGAAACTCTGCAAACAAAGCTGTTTACTGATAATGTGACTGGGTTGCAAGGCCTGAGGTGATAAACATTACTTAACCTTTTGACTAATGGTGGGACTAGAGCAATTGTTGTTGGAAAACTCAAAAGTGAATAGCCCTCCAACACCCTGCCATACAAAGACTATAAACATTGTGTTGCAGGGACACCAAACATATATTTCAAAATGTGTACAATGCATGTGATCCTCGTGCAATGTAATGATTCTTGATCCCATAAAAATTACCTTTTCTAAATCAAAATGATTTGACAGAACGTATTGTTGAATCAGTGACATTGTATGTGTTTATTAGACTGCTGGGCAAAATTGTACCCCCCCCCCCCCCAAAAAAGCGCACCGTCTCTCTTTTTCTTGTCTGTGGTGAAGACTAGCAGAAGAAGTAGCCTAAAATTGCTAGGCAATTGTTGATATCACTGTGTTCTCTGTCAGCTGGTAAAAGAAAAAAGTGATACCATGACATCACTTATTGGGATGTGGCCAGAAGTACTGCTTGATAGTTTGAGCCACACGAAAATAGTCTAGCTATGACAATCCTCTTTATTCCTAACTGCATCACATTTTTTACAAATAAACTTTTATATCCTTATAATAATTATTGATGGAATCAATAACGAAACTTCATAGCAACTTTACTGATCGTCCGACGTGCAGAGGTGGAACCAGGCTCCTGGCGCGACATAACAGTCAATGAATGTAACATACCCTTGGCCACTTGGATGAAGGCGGTGCTAGTGGTGCCCAAGAAGCAGGGCCTTGCCTTTGTGGTTATAGAAAGAGAAGATGGCTCCCGTTCTGGAGAAACAGCTCCCGGGCGCACCCGGGACAGGCGACAATAACAACGAAGAGGAAGAAGGACAAAACCTTTGGCAAGTTCTGCTATACTTTTAACGACTTCATGCCTGTCGTGGTCCTTCTTGGAAAAGCACAAGCGCAGTTGTTCTGCTTTGTCACTGCCGGTTGTTCACAATCAAACACCGGCCCGGCTAGCAGTAACATTAGCACTAACTGAAGCTGGGCGTTCAGTTTGCTAACGTTGCTTCTGTTAGCAGTTCAGCTAACGTCAGCTAAGTGAGCTACTGCTGAGTAGCTACATTGAAGCTGGCCAAGATAGTTCGTTAGCGATTATTCCTAATACAAGGAATGTTGTTGAATGAACGAGTCAAGTTTGAGTGAGCCATTCATAGTGCCAGGGGCGTTGATTAACTTAGTTCATGCTCATGTCAGGACAACACCTTAAAACTAGCTACTTTATGCAGGATACAACAAGCTAACAGGAACGTTGACAAGTTAACAAGCTAATACCGTAACCGACTAACTGAACTATACAGGGAAACAATGTTGGCTTGAGATCATTTGGGGTCGTACTGCTATGGGGCTTCAACTTGTCAGGTTTCATGGATTCAGATGATTAGCAAACGTTACTTATTTCTAGCGTAGCAGTTACTGGTCAGTGGAGATGACTTATCATTTCCTGCTTTTTTTTCGTGTTGTCGTGGACACATCACAGGGCTAGGTTAGCAGAAACTGTGGAAGTATCTCCTCGATCGTTACAATAGTTAAGTTGCAACGTTGGCCAATAACTGTTTAGGGAGCAACTTGTGTTTTGAGATAGGGATCTGTCAATGTGCCACTTGATTGTCAAGCTAACGGTTATTATGAGTCATCTGTGTGTCTGATTTTCTCCATGTGTCTTGTTATTTCTTGTAGGTCCTCGATACTGAGTGAAGTTTCAACTAGATCGAGTTCAAAGTTGCCATCAGGAAAAAATATCCTGGTATTTGGTAAGTATTACTTAAGCCACATGTGAAAGTTTCTGCTTCTGCAGTGTATTTGTCTGGTCAGCCCTGAGGGGAGAGGACGGCTGACCAGCTGCAAAACCGGGTTGGGTTTGCCTTCCAAAAGTGTGAGAAATACTGCTATTGACCAGAGAGATTTGTGTGAGACATTGCAGCCTCTGACAGTCATGAGAACAT